GAAGGGGTATTCAGAATGCATGACATCTTGGGGTGGGGGCAGGGGCGAAATAGGTTGAAAATTTGGAACTCAAAATCTTGTGGAAGTAAATGTTGAAAACAAAAAAATAAAAACTATCATAAAAAAATTAAAAATAAACATTTTTTAATTTTGTGACCCCTTTATGCTTATGCAATGATGAACACAGAGGGTGCTAATAATCACTAAGCTCTTGGGCCATCTACAAACATTAATTTGTTGTTACTATTCTTAATATAAAATCATTGTCCAGTAACCAATGAGTTAATACTATTTGAGGAAGTGAATCACATCACTATGGGCAGTGTGACTGTAAGTAAAATAAAAAGACTAAGATGTTTTAGCTAAATGGAAGGATGCCTCACAGGTTCTTCTCAAAGAGTCAAATAAATAAATTGGTTTCAATTCTGAGGTAACACATCACACATATCAGATGGGCTAACAAGACAAATCAGAAAAATGATAAATGTTGGAGAAGATGTGGGAAAATTGGAACCCTAATACATTGTTGGTGGAGTTGTGAACTGATCCAACCATTCTGGAGAGCAATTAGGAGCTATGCCCAAAGGGCTATTAAAATGTGCATACCCTCTGACCCAGAAATACCACTTCTAGGTCTGTATCCCACAGAGATCATAAAAATGGGAAAAGGACCCACAGGTACAAAAATATTTATAGCAGCTCTTTTTGTGGTGACAAAGAATTAGAAATTGAGGGGATGCCCATCAACTGGGAGATGGCTAAATAAGTTGTGGTATATGAATGTAATGGAATACTATTGTGCTATAAGAAATGATGAGCAGGCAGACTTCTGGAACACCTGGAAAGACTTGTATGGACTGATGCTGAGTGAAGTGAGCAGAACCAGGAGAACATTACACAGTAACAGCCACACTGTGCAATGATAGACTCATCTCTTCTTAGCAATGCAAGGATCCAAGACAACTCCAAAAGACTCATGATGTAAAATGCTATGTACATCCAGAGAAAGAACTTAGGAGTCTGAATGTAGATGGAACTATTTGGTCTCCTTTTCTTCTGTTGTTTTGTTTTGTTTCTTTTTTCTTGTGGTTCCTCCCATTAGTTCTAATTCTTCTTTACATCATGACTAATGTGAAAATATGTTTAATATGAATAGATAAGTAAAACCTGTATCAGTTTGCACACCATCTTGGGGAGGGGGAGGAGGAAGAGGGAGAGAAAATTTTAAACTCAAAATCTTGTGGAAGTAAATGTTGAAAACTACTAAATTAATTATATTAAAAAAAAAGAAGTTGGTTTCATCATGCACCCAAAGGCAACAAAAAATGACATTTCATGGGACACTTGGTCATCTCACCTTGCAGTGATCATAGTGAACATAAGAAGAAAACAAACTAATATGAAAATCATGGGATTATAGAATGCTAGATTTAGAATTGGAAGGGACTTTAGAGAGGTCCATTTAGTCCAATGCCCTCATTTTGTAAATGAGGACAGTGAAGTCTGGTGAGATCGAGTGACATGGATAATAAGTGGCAAAGCCTTCTCAGATTTGAACCCAGGCCCTTGGACTACAAATCCAGGGTCATTTTCCCAATCTTGTACACTAACATCTGTTGCAGAGGATAAGGAAGTAGAAAATTTCTATGAAGGACTTAAGCTTTCCAAAGTAAGTAAATCTATATCTTGTTATTCAGTGACTTCATTAAGAGCATAAGCACAGTACCTGACACATAGTGGGCACTTAATAAATGCGTATTACTTAAGTGCAAAGGAAAAAAGGAAAATGTTTTAAGATCAAGAGATAAAAGAAGTCAAAGATTTGTTGACAACTTAAAATCTTCACATAAGATAATGGATGTTTTCTTCAAGTAGATGATCAGAAACTCCTAGAAATAGTCAGTAGCTAGCAACATTTTTTAAATTGACAATGACTATATCCTAACAGGCAGGAAACAATGGCTACAAGTATAGCAATCATTTAGTCTGTAAGTCTGTCTTTTTCCACTAGTGTTCTTCCAGTCAGTGTGGTTTATTCAGTTCCCACAATTAATCACTTGCTGTCCTGATGCTCTCAATTCTCTCAGTTTTTGGTTATAATCTTAACTCCTTTGCTCTCCAAAATATCACATTCCAAATCCTCCAATCCTTCAATGTAGAAGCTGCCGAACTTGTGCTATCCCAATTGTGGCTCCACAATATTTGAATTGTTTCTTTCTGGTTGCTTGCAACATTTTCTTCTTGACCCAGGAGCTCTGGAATTTGGCTATAATATTCCTGGGAGTTTTCATTTTGGGATCTCTTTCAGAAGGCAATTTGTAGATTCTTTCAACTTCTATTTTTCCCTCTGGATCCAAGATATTAGGGCAGTTTTCCATGATGATATATATTATCCCACTTCAAAAACACATACTAATGGCAATATTCTGAAGCTTCCTTACATGTACAGTGTGTCTTTCTTTGCCGTTTGGATCACCTGAACTTTTAATTCTTCTGAAATTGTGGGGTTCATGATATGAGAATATTGGTGTTACAGAGATGAATGGGATTTTGCATCATTGAACAGCTTAGGAGCACTGAAAGCATTATTAATTTCCCAAATGTGATCCAGCCCAGTTTCTTCTGGACCCAATTTAAACATGTGGATCACCTGTCCAAGAATATACATGTTGAAAGACTTACTCAGTAGCCTATCCCTCCAGGTGCATGTCAGAATCTGAACATTTTTCAATCACATTATTTTTCTATTGTGGATGATTAAAACAATCTCTTGAATAATCATGGATTTCCTCAAAGATGCTTGTTATATTTTAGGTTTAATGGAATTAGTAAGTTTCTATCTATGAATAAAACATTTATAGATTTTTATTATCAATGAAGAATCCATCTTCTATTTCAATTGTGCAGAATATCCTCCATGATACTGGCAACCACCTTGGTTGGTTGTAAACATGTGCTTCCTTGTTTGATTTGCTGCTAACATTTGGTGATTCATTGAAAAAAGTTACTACACAGTTGGATCTGTCATAGAATCTTATTATTTTAACATACATGAGATATACGCTATTTAAGAAGAGCTTTAAGGCAGCATTTTATTTTACTGAACGATGTAATTTTAAGATATCAACAAATAATAGACTGCACTTTTTACCTTTTCTATGCATGAATAGCATGAATGCAAAACAGTAGTCTGTTACAGAAAAATTTTTGAAATCCTATTTTCTTTGGATTTTTTTAATCAAAGATATACTCAATGCATGCATGAGCCATTTTCATAAAGATATCATGAAGGTGTGAAAATAGACCTTCTGCTTAAGGCCTATTCTAAGGCTTCATCATGTTTTGGAGATGACTCCTGGCTCTCGAAACTTACTCAGCAAAGGATAAATTCTGGCAGGTTTTACCAATCTGGAAAGTCTTTAGATATAAATGCAGTGATATAATGTGTAATGTGATATAAGGTGTAACATGTGTAAGTTGAGAGATACTTACCAAATAGCTGGTTGAGGGGTGATGTTCTTTTTGGCCATAGCTGCTTTTAAAGACACTTTATTAAAATAAAGAGGGGCTGTTTAATCCATGACAGTGGAGGGGAATGACTATCTCTGACAAATTTCTATTCCTTGAAGTACAGGTAACATGATATAGTGGAAAGGGTGCTAGATTTGGAATCAGAGGATATTGATTTGAATCACAGCCCTGGCATTTACTACTACTGTGACCTTGGGCAAATCGCTTAGCCTCTCTGAGCCTGTTTCTTCATCTGTAAAATGAAGAGACTGGACCTTAGAAGCCATATGACTCTATGATCTTATATCAGTATGTAAACAGGCATATGGGTTGATAATGTCTTCTCAGTTGTCATTTTTGGGGGTTAAAATAGCATTTGTGATATTTTCTTTTTGAATTTTTTCCTTTTTTTTTTTTTTTGCTATCTTAGAAATTGTTCCCTGAGTCCCTTTGAAATTGTATTTCCCCCCAGCACATATTTATTTATTGTTTGACTAAGTACAGCTCTTCTTCTCAGGTTCATCTTCTTAAGTGCCAGTTGCTATTTCTTTGTATACTGAAGTGGTAGAAACTAAATATAATGGCTTCACTATTGCCACGAATGAGAATTAGATTACAAGAGGAATATTGTCCAGTCTCCCCATTTGCATTCCATCTTCCAGTTTCATAAACAAATTTCCTCAGAATAATCTGGGCTGGGTTATTTTCCTGCCAAACTTTTTACTGGTTCATTTTTCCCCAATTGCTTTTACTGTTTCATGAGGTGAAATATTGCTTATAATTTTTCTCCTTCATAATGTTTCGCAAATGAACTTGTACTCTAAACTAGTGTTGCCTTTGACTATTCTGTCACTCTGGCAAAGAGATTGAGTGCCTTTGTTGGGTTAGTTTCATGGCTCTTTTGACCTCTTGCTTGGATACCTTTTTTTTTTTAATTTATCCTTTGCATTGGTTGAACTTTTCTAAGAAATGGTAATAATGTCTTTACCTTTGTTCATTTTCCATTTTTTGGAGCCAAAGTCTTATTTAAACAGAGTGGATTTTTCATGAAGAAGTTATGGAAGGATATGGATAAGAAGTACACAAGATAAGAAGGAGAGTATCCATTTTAGGAGTTAAATTCATACAAAAGGGTATTCTCTTTGGATCCCTTAACATGGTGTTCCTTAGGGGTTACTGTATTTGAAAGTTATAGTATAACTCTAACATTGAGTTCTGTACTGTTGTTTAAGTAGTAAGAAAAATTATGTTCCCCCATTGCTCGTCACTAATACAAACACAAACTTTCTTGGAATGACTTAAGTCACAAAGACTATCTAAAGCCTCAAAGGTAATTGATAATTAAAATCACTCAGTTGTGTGATCAATAGATTTTCTTACCTACTTTGAGTACAAGAAGCATTTTAATTAGTTTAAAACAAAAACTCACAAAGAAATTAAAAGCTTAACACAGGAAAAAACATAAAATTTATTATTTTAAAATCAAGCATTTTCGCACTTAAAGTACTTTGGTACAGGATAAATTACAAATATGCATACAAAATAAATGACTTTGACTTTTTAAATCACACGAGGCAAACTTTAACCATTCAAAAAAAACAAAGCAAACACTTTAAGTGAGGTTTCTTACTGTAACTGCACCTACATGAATGGTAACATAAGAGTACAATAAAAACCTTAGAAACAGTTACATTTATAAACAAGAATTCTAAAACCTTCCATCTAAACTGATTTAAGACTACAAAGAATGGCTAAATTGTAGCTAAAATAGCTGTTAAACCCTTCCAAAAGTTTGTTTTTTGTTTTGCTTTGTTTTATTTTCCTGCCAGTAATGACTAACATTATACATTTATGTTCAGTCATGTACCTGTATGTCTATTTATAACACATTAGTCTTGGTAACTTGTTCTAAGTATATCTTCTGGATGGTACATCGTTGAGAAATTCATTGTGTCACACTCAAAAATCTTCCTTTCAATATTAGGAACATTTTGAGTTCCTCACACATTTGAAATGCCTGACTCACTGATATTTGTCTTGCCAAGTTTTAGATTTTTTTTTCCATTGAAATGATTCAGTCAAAAAGAAAGTAGGTTGCCCAGTTCCTGAAGAATACTTTCCAAATGCTATACTTATGCATCTTAATGGGAAAAGAAAGAAAAAAAGAATATGTCAATAAAGATTTAAACCATTATATTTTTCTTCCTCTCAGTGTTGTTGTCATAGTGTTCTCATCATCATGGTCAACATTTTGCCTCAAATCTAGTGATATATGGGGAAAGGGAATGAGATTTTCAAGTTCATATAAACTCCAGAAATTATTCATATCATTGGATAAATTTTAAGTATTATGTAAATAAAATAGTTACCTAAGTAAAACAAAAAGTAACTTGAAAATTAAAAAGGGGAATTTTATTATCCAAACCAATATATAGCCTGCCTCTTCCAATAAGTGAAGAACCCCATATTTTATTTCTTTTCTACTTATAATTTTGAGCAAATATAAATTTCATTTTTTCTCTTAATTTAGATATAAATAATTAAGCGTGACAGGAAAAAAAAATTTTGAAGTTGTATTTTCAGGGACTCAGCCAAAATCACAACTGCACAGATGGGCCTATATATGAGACTTTTTTTCTCTACCAAAACAGTGACTGGTATCTACATATATTTTTGATTCATAATGTTAGATAGTGGGATCATAATAAAGTTTCTTCTCAAAATAGCTTTATGCCACCAAGATAAGGCATACAGATTAATTTCTCTGCATGAAATCATCCACAAACATACATCTGACCTATCACTGTCTCACCAACAAATAGTTTTTTAAAAGATTTAATCTCTTAGGTTCCATTCTTAGAGGCATCAAACCACAGTTTGTAAGTAAAATAAGGCTAGAGGTCAAAGCAAGATCTTTACTAGAAAGAAGGTGTGGTAAGTTCATGTTACGTGTCACAAAACCAGAGTGACACAGACCAGAACTCCAGATATAAATGCCATGCCAAATTATATGTTCTGTGATATATAATGTACATTATGTCCCAATTCTTAATAAACTAAAACTTAATAGCACCGTGAAAAAAAGAAAATACATTCACATCAATGCAGTCATTAGCAGAAAGAAGGGTCATCTAGAAAATCTGCAAATTCTTGGCAAAAAAAGACTAAAAAGAATACCATAGAGAGACTTCCTGACATTCAACAGGACATTTGCATTGGTCATTTTCAAATTGTTCACTTTGCTCGGTTAGTTTTATACTGCTTCTCAGGATTGGTATGCGGTGAGAGGGTTTAGCTCTGGAGAGTTTTCCAGCAATTATTTCTCTCAAAGCACATAACCTGTTATTTATCATTTTTCAACCCTTTGCCCATGAAAGCAGCATAGAAGATATACCTTCTCAACTGCACAGATGTGTTCAATATATACTTTCCAACTTATTTGCATGAAATACTCTTGTTCAAATGTTACGTTTATAAGAGAATCAAAAAAAATTCCCCTGTAGCTTATATTAATTTCCTCAATTATTAAATACTAACGAAAAACTTTTAATATAAATTTCACAAACAGGATTAGGGATGTATATTTTATGTCATTAGCAATAATATATTAATAGAAATAATGCTTTTGTTTTAAAAAAAAAGTTTCAAAGAGGTAGAAAAGAAAATCTCCAGATGGTTTTGTAATATTGAGAAGTCATTCTTTCCCAAATAGAGAAACAAAAGCAAAGGCAATGAAATAATTTATTCAAGGCCTATAGTCAGAGGTGAGGTTGAAAATGTGTCCAGGCTCCATGAGAACCAGGTCCAAATTATTTATTAATTTTAATTTTTTTTCTTTTCTTAAAGAATTGTATGCAACAGAAGTGAACATCAAGTGAAATTGATTATAGCCATTTTTGTTTTATTGTCTATGTGAGCTTTAAGTTTACTCATGACAAATAGGCTTTTCAGTATAAAGAATATTTTTCAGAAATCTAAGACTTCCAAAAACTTCATAAAACAGGACCCAATAAAAGTATAAAAGGAACCCAGAAAGAGAAGAGATGCCTGACAGTAAAATATATAAATCAGAATATATTGTAACATATTACTGTGTGTAAAGGGTAGGGATGAGGAGCAAATGGAGTTGGGGGCAAAAGCTACCAAATGGGTAAAGGACAAAACAACAACAACAACAACAACAACAACAAAAACCCTAAGCAATTAAAAGACAATGAATTCTGATAAAAGGATATTCGAGTGCTCTGTATGTTACAATTGTATACCTTCTGAACAGAGCTATTTAATTTTACTGGAAAAGAAATGCAGACAAAGAAATCTTTCTAAAGTAATAACTATTTTTCTAATACATGTACAAATCAAGCAGTGTTTCAGCATCTTTCTTCATCAGAACAGTTACTGGAATAGAAAAAACACCAAAAGCATTCAACAATTGATTCATCCTTTTTTCAATGTTCAAAAACAGACTTCAAGGCCACTTTTACCATTTCCCCCCAAAGAAGTTAACATAATCAGTAATACCAATGTTATCTGGTCTATGCAATTCAAAAAGAAGCATTCCATCACACATTTTAAATGCTGAAGAATAAGCAATATTATTTTAAAAAATTCATTTAGGTTGAAGCTCAAGATAATTAGGTCACCTCAGTTTCCACTTTGAGGGTAGCAAAAGGAAAGTATTTGGCTTCTGCCACTCTATCCTAAAAACTTGGTTTTAAAAGGCCAATTGAGAAGTTATAGTTTCACATCATCTGTTAAAATGCCATCTCACAAACTGTTGGCTTCATCTATTTCCCGAATTTTATTATGCCCAATTACTTATTCCCATATTTTTTTCATTGTTGATATGCTTGAAGTTGTTCCATGAAGCCAGAATTTGGGCATATAGCAGGTCTTGCATTTTTCACCAAAGAAAAGGCACTGGTAAATGTGATTTCTTCAGTACTCATCAGGAAGCCAATTATAATTGCTGCGGCCCTGGAGACGCCTGCATTACAATGAACAAGAACCACTCCATCCTTTCAAGAAAAAAAAAATCCACATTCATTTGAGAAACATTATCAAGCTCACTGCACATACCATTTAGAATTATTGGATTATTACAATATAATCCACCGTAAGCAAAGTTTAGGAAATATTCTCCTCTAGAAGGATATATAAGTGTTCACCAAATCAGTTTCCAAGCCTAAAATTGCAATTGTATCCTTTTTTTTTTGTACCTTAGTGATACCAGTAAAGCTGGTAATAGTATCATGTTTATAATTAGCTAAAAGAATATATCAGAAACATAAGTACATTTTTAAATAAGACAACAAAGTCCACTAAACAAAAAGATGAACTCTGAAGCAAACTAGGTACAGTAAGTATTCCTGAGGGGAGAAAACTACTTAGAGAAAAGTAATAGTTTTGATCTAGCAGCTAAGGAACAGATGCTTTCCCACCAGATTGCATTCACTTTCAGCTACATTCTTGACTACTGTACATTGTACTCTGAGCACTATTAAGTAACTTTAAAATTGCCACCAAGAAGCAAACAAACCCTCAGTAATTTAAAGTAGAAAAACTGTACAGCTCAATTTTTTTAGTTTTTTATTCAAACTATTCTTCAAAAGTGTATCTAATCAACCATTTTTATTAAAGCTGGCAGACAACACAGTACAAAGATCTACACAAAGAAGGATTTAAACCAAAGGCACAAAAGAAAAGGTTTTACTATGTCTCATAAGTCTATTGACAGACTCCAAAGGGAGAATGGAAAGAAAGGAGAAAAGAAAAAGTAGATTTTTTTTGTTTAAAGTCTAGATTGGAAGGAGTTAAAGACAATAAGATTAGACCTCAGGAGAAAAGAGGGGGGAAAAACAGAAAAGCAATAGAAATAGGAGAGGATAAGCCCTGTCTTTATTATGGTTAGTCAGAAACACTAAGCTGAAGATGTGAGGTAAAAAGTCTAAAAGTCAAAATAAAGCTGAGTGTTCCAGACATATGATTAATCTAGGGCTCCTTTGCTCCTCCTGCATTATTCTGTTTCATTTTGACTGTATGGTTCTTCCTAAAGACTATGAAGTGAGGGGTCAACCATTCTACCAAATCAAAATATTTTTAAATGCTAATATGTAAAAAACAATTCTATTTAACACCAAAAAAATCTGTTTCTGCCTTTATTTTCCTTACAATTGCTAGTACTGATAAAATGGTGAGTTTTAACAAAGAGAATTAAAAGATGTGCATTATATTATTTTGGAACAATACCTTTTAACATTAGTGAAATACTGAATAGTTGCATTTTTAAATTTAGCATGTCCCCCCTGCCTTTTTCTTCTTTTTTCTAATCTATTAATTTTATCTTCTATTTGGTATATGTTCAAACTCAATGTTGTCACAATCCTCTTTATAAACTAAGAAATATTTATAAAATCAGGAAAGTACCTGAAAGTACCAAAGCTAATGAACTCGGTGATATACTTACCTTAAGAGCTTGCAACAATATGAAATGGAAACTGTAATTGGATACTGAAATGAGGTCAATAAGTGAAAAACGTTTCAGGTAACTTGCAAAGGATACTTTACAAGTGAAAAGAGATGCAGTATAAAACAAATGCTCATGGGGGCTTATGCTATCAATAATGAAAGTGATAGATCTGATGGAACAGCCTTGAGACAGGTTGGCCAGCCTTGTGCTTTTTAAAAGTTAATGATTTAAATGAAATGTGGTACTCTGTAGTGACAAAATAGACAATATTCCTGTCACTACATTTTCAGATATGAAATTAACATCACCTGTTGGGATAGTCTATTTAGGATGACAATAATGAGAACTTTTAACTATCAACAAATTATGAGCAGTATAGTATGGAGTAATGTGTAATTATTTCTTTTGAACCCAAATAGGAAAAAATAGAAATAAACTTGCAACTAAAGAATTTTCAAATACTTTCTGCCCCAACCTAGGTTTTCAATGGTGTAGAGAATTATGGGGAAGGAAACTACCCTGATCAATGCAGATTAGCAACTGTTCCACAACTTCTTATTAGGCAGAGAGATTAAGTACTTGCCCAAGGCCACAAAAACAAATTTAAATGTGTCCTGTGTAGTATTTGAACCCAGATCTTTAGGACTCTAAGGCCAACACTCTACCCAAAAGGCATGCTGTCTCTACTTTTAACAGTTTACTTTTCTACAAACGTCTGAATTTACTCGCATCTTACTTTTTCATCCTTCCTTATAGAATTTCCCATTCTTGGAAGCATTTCCAACGAGAAATATTGGCTCTGTATTTAAACTACAGAATAATAATAATCATTTATATAGTATTTTTCTTCCGATAAGCTCAAAGTACAATATGAGTTACTAAGAGAAAACCTTTCACTCTATAATCCAGGTATCACACAGTGAACATATGGTGTTATTATCTTCATTCTCCAATGTATTCTCTTTTCAAAGGTCATAATGAATCCAGAATTCAATTAGATGATAAGTTCCTTGAGTGTAGGGACAGATTGTATATTACATTATTTTAATTCCCTAAAAACATTTAGTACAGGATTGTACTTTAGTGTTTCATTAAATACTTACTCATTTTCCTCAAAGCTCAACTTAAATATTATCCCCTACATGAAGTTTTTCCTTGGTTTCCCTAGATGTTAGTACCTCCCTCCATAACTACCTTGTGTTTATTTTGTATATACTCATCTATGTTCATGTTGTCTTCCCCTATAGAAGGTAAAGTTCTCAAGGACAGAGATTGCTTCATTTCCATCTTTTGTCCCAAGCACCTAGCACAGAGTAGTTTTTTAATAAATGTTTTTTGATGATTTATGGACTAGAATTCTTAATTTTACATTGGAGACTTATAAAATTGAACATAATATTCTTCCATGCTGCTTTTTGTTTTGAGGTACTGAAAATTAATGTGCTGATGGCATGTTTTTCAACTATAGTCAGCTCTTGATTATGTATATTTGATGGAGGCAAGCATTAGTAGAGGCAATCCAAAATGGTAGTAGAACTCACTTTTTGCCATATCAACATCTGAGTCAGAGAGGTCTAAATATTAAATGCCCAGGGAGAGATAGGAATCTGAGACAATCTGAGGGATTTTGAAAAGTAGGTTAATAAATTCAACACACTTTCTATAATACCCTACGATGCTTCTCTAAACTATACTTTTAAAATTCCTTATCTTTTGTCCTGAGTCAATAATAAATAGGTAGAAAGGGCAAATGCAAACAACAATCAAGGATGACTTCAGAAAAACCTGGAAGACTTACATGAATTGATGCAAAGTGAAATGAACAGAACCAGGAGAACAGCTGTACAGAGTAACAGCACTACTGTATAATGAAGAACTGTGAATGACTTAGCTAATCTCAGCAATACAATGATCCACAACCCCGAAGAACTCATAATGAAGCATACTATCCTCCTCCAGAGAAAGAACTAATACTGTCTGAATACAGACTGAAGCATGCTATTTTTCACTTTCCTTCTTTCATTTTTTTTAGTCTTCTTGTACAAAATTATTAATATGGAAATGTTTTACATGATTACACAAGTATAAACTACATTGAATTGCTTACTGTCTCAGGTAGGAGGGAGGGGAAGAAAAGAGGAAGGAAAGGATAGAATTTGGAACTCAAAACTTTTTTTTAAATATTAAAAACATTGTTTTAACAGGTAATGAGGTGGGGAATAAAATATTATTTTTTAAAAACCACCAAATAAGTGTCTGGAGGCTGGATGACTATCACTTCTGTGTTTTATTTTCATCTTTTATTCTTCAAGTCTTCATGTTTAAGTTGGATAAATACCCTATTAGGCTGGGCAAGTATAAAGGTAGAAAAAGCAAACTCACAGAACTTTGTAAGACTTCAGCAAAGAAACAAGTTTGGGAGAGATGGAGAAAAGTTCAAGGAGATAATAGTCATTAAGAACTATCATACTGTAAGATTGGAAAGGTAGATTTAAAGGAAGGTAATCAGAAAGTGGAAATCAAGAATTAACCGTTTGCTCTACAACTAAGTAGGTATTGACTTTGGCTAAGTAATTTCCTCTCTCTGTTCCTCAGTTTTCTCATCTGTATAATGAGCAAAGTAAATTGGACAACCTTTGAAGTCTGTTCTAGCTATTAGATTTTATGACTCTACGACAATATTCTATAAGTAAAAACTTGAACAGAGGATAAGATCTATATCAGGGAATAATAATCATCAAATTCATAATTCTAGTGTTAATATCAAACTTTTGTTTAAATAAAAATCAGCTGGACAGATTAGGAAATGTCTACATTGCAGCACCAAACCAAAATATGTATTTCCTAGAACTAATGATCTCAAATAGAAACGGAACTAGTTGCTTAAAAAGAAGAAATTTAACTTTAATAAACTAGATAAGCCACCATAATTCACAATTTAATGTCTCCTGCCCTATTCTAGACTTTACTGTGGTCAACTTTTAGCTTTGATATCCATATTTTTATAATATTGATAAGAATGTATTTCTTCATTTCCCCCCTTAATATCTGTGTCAGAGTGCCAAATTATAAAGCACTTAAGCTTTTTTTTTTTTTAGTATTTCTATCACTATGCCAGAGGTGGAGAACCTGCAGCCTTGAGGCCACATGTGGCCTTCTAGGTCCTTGAGTGCGGCCTTTTGACTGAGTCCAAGTTTTACAGAACAAATCCTTTTATTAAGGGGATTTGTTCTGTGAAGTTTGGATTCAGTCACAGGGCTGCACTTGAAGACCTAAAGGGCCACATGTGGCCTCGAAGTCGCAGGTTCCCCACTGCTATGGGGTCTATCCCTTGCCTTAATGTTACAATCCTAAAGTTGTAACAAAATGTTTGAAGGGCACAGTTCTACTGCCTTCAGCTCTGAACTAAGTTTTCTTCATTGATTCTTTCCAACCAATTACCATTGAGTAAAGGAGATATGGAAAACCATATTTAAAAGATTTTCTAGATATTTAAATTCCCAGTGCTTAGCACAGTGCCTGGCACATAGCAGCACTTAATAAATGTTTATTGATTGATTAATTGATATCCAAGGAAACCTAGTGCAAAGACTGGTGGATAAGATATTATATAATGAATTCTAAATCCTAATTCTACCATACTCCAGGAAAGTCACTTTGGTTCTCCATAAAATGACTCTGTTTCACCAATCACAAACTATACCTACCACTATGCCCTTTACTTATCTAATATAGATTTTGTGAGGAAAGTATGCTCACAAAAATGATGCAGTAATTGTCATTATAGACAATAACCCACCTAGTTCCCTGACTATCAGAATCTTAACTTGGATCCAATACAGTATTAATACCTAGTTAGTGAGCGAAAGATTGACGCAGTTATATTAATATTGTCAGTGGTTTTCTTAGTGTCAAAAGGAAGTTTCAGTTTACATGGTCTTCAGTACAAATCCCAGTAAATCCTACATTATAGCAGACTAGTTTATAAACGTAGTACACTCAACATTTAGTTCCCAGAGTGTCCTGAAATGTTACATTAAAAAGCAACAATTCTCTTTTCTTTCCTGTAGTGGTGAAATAGTCATACTGTCATACTGATAAATGCACTATCAGGCCTAAAGCAGACTCTAACACAGTTAGCTTGTTTCTGTTATTCAGTAGTTCAGTTGTCATAAGCCTTCAAAGAGAAGTTATCTACATATTTCTATTGAAAAATTTGACATACGGAGACTTTTACCTCCTGGAGTTTCTCAGAAGAGTATCATTAGCCCCTGGTGTACAGGAAGTGGAGGAGAATCAAATTAAATCTAAAAAATAAATATTCTATTGTGGAGAAAAATGCAATGGGAAGCATAAGAAAGAGAATCATTAGGAATATGGATGAATTAAATATTTTGAGAGAAATCTTGTAAGTGATTTATTTAAGATAGGTGCTATTACATTTCTGACTTTTCTTTGATAAACTATACACCAAATTAATAATAATAATAACTAACATTTATATAGTGCTTTAAAATCTGCAAATACTTTACAAATACTGTCTTATTTTATCCTCACAGAAACCCTGGTCAGTTGGTGCTACTATTGTCCCTATTTTACAAAGTAAGACAGCTGGTAAACACCTGAGGCTGTATTTAAACTCAAATCTTCCTGACTCTAGGTCCAACACTCTATGCACTGCACCAACTAGCTGTCCTTACCTTCAATTTGGCTTCTTCAATGAATTCAAAGCATTCTGGAAAATAAGATACGATATTGGTTTCAGGTAGATCCAAGATAGAAATGTTCTTATATGTAAAGTCATTGAGGAAAGCATTTTCAACTCCACAGGCAACATTGAGAATATGAGTAACCTAAAGGGAAACACAAAGAGAAATTTTAGAACTTGTAGAGTTTAGTAACACAGGATGAGAATATGTGAATGAATTTCTGAATTTCTACAATGAGATATTAGTCCCATTAAAAAATAAGTATGTCTTAAATAATCCTTAAATGGGCAAAACAAAATGTGTCCAAAAATTCAACTATAACAAAAAACAACTAGAAAATAAATTATATAGCTCCATTAATAAATATGAAAAACATAAAGGGGTACATATTCTATTTACCCAAAGGAATAATATTTGGGGGAAATGTGGAATAAGGGAAACTTTGTCTTTACCCTACCCATACTTTCTTCTTATAGCCATACTTAACCATACACTCATAAAGGAATGGACTCTTCCTAAGCTTTCAATTATTGCCCATTTATCAGATATTTAGTACTTTAAATCTACCCTGGTCTCCCAGGAGTATTTTTAAAGAGGATCGAAGAGCCTGCCTAAGAAAAAGCCAATACATTGTTTTATTAATGATAGACTACCAGTGAAGAGGGAAAGAGATCACCTTGGAACCTTGGAAATGATAAACACCAATAAGAGACAATCTACTCCACCTATTCAGAAAGGCCAGACTTCTTCCCATCATTTTCCCTAGCACAAAACCTTTTGAGGTCTCAAAGATTAACTGGACCAGGAAATCACAATCTCAGGAAAATAAGGGTTGAGAGAAATAATCATTTAACAGTTGTTAACCACAGTACTGTCATTTGGTAATAATCCTCTATGTTATCAATCTAGTGTCTATGACAAACATTTTTATTTAGATAGTAGATCATTATGCTATAAACTCTCTCAAACACAAGTTTCCCTGTAAACAATCATGAATTGTGGATATAATGATTTGTACATGAATTTACAAATTTCAATCACCTCTGGGTTTTGCTCCTACTCAAAGATTATTTATGGGGATAAATCCTTCTAGAACCCGTGCATTTATTTCTCTCAAAATTCACTGACTGGCTCTCTTCTAGAGCTGTTTACCATTTGATTCTTAGGGGAGTTGGGCAAAGCAAATACTACAAAGTCAGTATATTCTAGTAGTCAGGCCTTACTGAAGAATATACCTTTACCACTTATCAGTTTAGTTCCTTTCTTGGTTTGGTTCCTTTGGAAAAAAGGATAAGGGGAAAAGTTGTCATTGACTTTATGTCTTCTTCAAATATGCCTATTGAAAGTATTTTTAAGAAAGAGCTGGCACCTAGACGTTTATAACTCTCCTAACCACCTTGTAGAAGGTGGGAAGAAAGAGAAAATGCCAAAATCCTTCTTTCTAATCTTCTCCTTAGGAAAGATTATACAAATAAGATCAAAGTGGGAAAAAGTAGAGAAGAGGGAGCAAAAATATTTGGGGATAAAGGTTGTAAGCCCCTCCCTTTTCCCCTAGTGCCTCTGCTTGTCCATATCCTATCCATCTTTTAAAATTCAACTCAAGTTCCATTGTTTATGAGGCTTTCTCTGAATATTCTACACCACAGTGATTTTGCTTTCTCTTTTCTCCCACTGAATTTCAAGTCAGTCACACAGTTTAACCTTTAAATGTATGCAGTCTTAAATTGTTCTCCTACTGTTCTACGTGTATTAGGCATGTAGCCCCTAAAAGACTTAAGGTATCTAAGGACCTATCCTTAATAAATGGTGTCAGGCACATAATGCACACCTGATAAATCATGGAATCACAGATTTAGAAGTAGAAGTGACTTAGAAATTTTCCGGTCCATCATATCATTTTACATATAAAGAAACATGCCAAGAGGAGTGACATGACTTTCCCAAGGTCACACAAGTTTTAGAACCAGAATTTTAATACTGATCCTCTGACCTCAAACTTACTCATACTTGATTAATTAATGAAGGAAACATTAAAGAGATATATCCAACTCCCCAAAATATAAATTCAAGGAAATGGTCTGGCATATAGAAATTCCTGAAAATGATTTTCCAAAGGGCAAAAATTGTACTAGAATGGCACCGTTTTATATCTGAAATACCAGGTTTAGGGGCAGCTAGGTGGCGTAGTGCATAAAGCACTGACCCTGGAGTCAGGAAGACTTGAGTTCAAATCCAGCCTCAGACACATAACACTCACTAACTGTGTGACTCTGGGCAAGTCACTTAACCCCAATTGCCACACCAAAAAAAAAAAAGAAAGACAGAAAGAAATACCAGGTTTGAATCTTTCCTCTTCCACTTACTAGATGTGTGACCTTGAGCTAATCATTCAACTTATTTATCTCAGTTTCCTCATCTGGAAAATGAGGACACCACCAATAGCCCTGTTTACCTTACACAGTTAATATGAAGATCAAATAGGATAATGTATTGGAAAACCTTTTGAAAACCTGTTCAACATTATACAAATATTAGTTGTTATTTTATGTACAGAGGTACTGGCTTTGAAATGTGACACGTAGAAAAATCACCCTAGTCCATTTCCCATGTTATCCTTCAATTTCTCTGGAAGCTTCCTATCCAGTTCTTCAGACCCTAGCCAGACTTCCTTTGGCTCACTGATGAAACTGGACAAAGAAGTTAACAACATATTTTTTTTTAAAGAGTTACTCAGGGGGCGAAGCCAAGATGGCGGGGGGAAAGCAGTGACTTGCTAGTGATCTCCCCCAAACCCCTCCAAATACCTATAAAAAATGGCTCTAAACAAATTCTAAAGCAGCAGAACCCACAAAAAAACAAAGTGAAACACATTTCCAGCCCAAGACAACCTGGATGGCTGATCGGAAAGGTATATCGCGCTGGGCTAGGAGAGGAGCGCAGTTTGGCGTGGATGCGCAGGCCACAGCAACCCTGGATCAAGCCTTAGAGGACTGAATCACGGGCAGCTGTGGCAGTTTCCAGACTTCTCAACCCACAAATGCCAAAGACAACTTAGAAGGTCAGTGGGAAAAGTCTGTGACTTCAGTGAGAGAAGAAGCTAGGTCTCAGCCACAAGTCCCTAGTGCAGGCCACGGCTGCCTCCTGAGCTTCTGGCCCACAGACTGAGGGGGAATCAAGTGTCTGATCAGAGGGGGATTGCAGCGATCTCTTTGCCAGGGCCGAGGCAGGAATCTCTTGCTTTACCCGTGCTTGGATCTGGGTCACAGTTCTGAGGGGCGGTCCTGGGGAGAGGAGGAACACTGGTGCGGGAGAGCTTGTTGTGGCTGTGGAGAGGAAACACCTCACCTCTTATCATAGCACCTTGGGAGAACTGACACTTTTCAGGTCCCTAGAAGTATCTCTGAAAACAGCTGTACAAACCCCCGAAGCTTGGGACAGTACATTCTCCACATTGGAAACAGACTCTTACCTTAACAAAGAGTTTAAAACTCAAGTAATTGGTTGGGATCATGAGTAAGCAGCGCAAAAGAGTCAGACTATATTATCTTACTTTGGTGACAAAGAAGATCAAAACACACAACCAGAAGAAGAAAACAAAGTCAAAGCTCCTACATCCAAAACCTCCAAGAAAAAAATGAATCAGTCCCAGGCCTTGGAAGAGCTCAAAAGGGATTTTGAGAAGCAAGTAAGTGAAGTAGAGGAAAAACTGGGAAGAAAAATGAGAGTGATGCAAGAAAATCATGAAAAGCAAGTTAACAGCTTGCTAAAGGAGATCCAAAAAAATACTGAAGAAAATAACACCTTAAAAAATAGCCTAACCCAAATGGCAAAAGAGGTCCAAAAAGCCAATGAGGAGAAGAATGCCCTAAAATGCAAAATTGGACAAATGGAAAAGGAAGTCCAAAAGCTTACTGAAGAAAATACTTCCTTAAAAATTAGAATAGAGCAATTGAAAGCTAGTGACTTTATGAGAAATCAAGACACTGTAAAACAAATCCAAAAGAATGAAAAATTAGAAAACAATGTGAAATATCTCATTGGAAAAACAACTGACCTGGAAAATAGATCCAGGAGAGAGAATTTAAAAATTATTGGACTATCTGAAAGCCATGATCAAAAAAAGAGCCTAGACATCATCTTTCAAGAAATGATCAAGGAAAACTGCCCTGATATTTTAGAACCAGAGGGCAAAATAGAAATTGGAAGAATCCACCTATCTCCTCCTGAAAGAGATCC